GCGCGCGTGTGTGTGTGTGTGTGTGTGTGTGTGTATGTGTGTGTGTGTGTGTGTGCGTTTGTGTGTGTTTCAGAATTTGTTTAACTCGTGGGCACAGACTTTGTCATATTTTTGTTGTCTCTTAGATTTGGTAATATTTCTATCCCTAACTATAACGAACATCATACATACACCACTGCATGAGTTTTTCTACATACATGGATGCAGTAATACGTGCTACCTCTTAAATGCGTATTCATGTGATATATCTTCTGGGTGAACCACTATCTCGAAGATTTAAGTGCAGGTATCATTGGCTACTGCCGATATAGATCAGAGTAATTAGAATACAAATGCCGTAATACTAAATACTTAATTAAGAATCCTATTGCTACATACTTCTGCTTTAAAATATAACATAATTACACGCTTTTGTTAAAACCAATGGCCTAAATACATACTTAAGCAACTAAGAACAACTCATCTACACACATGCTATACTTGTATGTAGCTACACGTGCAAGTACCTGGTGCCCACACCACGTGACTCGTTGTTTTCCGAGAGTGCCGTCGTTTACTATTTCGCTTGTTTAGATTCGTACAGAGAAACATAAATCAATACGTATATCTAACGAACGTGAAAAGTCGAGCAACGTGTCACCATACTATCCAATGCTACTTCAACCTGAGTATGTATATGCTGTTACTCACAAATGTCAGCTCAGCGTACCATGTCTAAGTGCCACCTACAACAACTTAGTACCACACCTTGTTTGCACATGTGCATTCCCATAACACAATCTACAACACCAATACTCGTTTATACACTTCAAGCCATACCACTGCACCCCCCCACGCACACACAGCATAGCAGTGCGGCTGCCTGAGGTGTTGGTAACCCATGACTCACACTCACCCCTACGTCTGACTACTATACTGTGCTAATACACACGCAATGAATGGGCTGTACATACTCGGTGGCGCCTGGCGCGAGACAAGGTTATCGTAGTTCATACCATTTAAGTTCATCTGATTCATCTGATTGGGCAGTGCCTGTGACACAATGACACGCAAATTAGAAAACGTGTGCGGCAGTCCGTTAGTCACCTCTATACACACTCGCAATTGAAGTGCAGCTAGCGTGTGTGCCTCTCACCGGGAATGTGCCAGAGATTTTGTGTGTGTAAATATGCGGGTATAATATGATATCTACAGATAAAAACACAAACATATATATATACATATATATATATATATGTATATATATATATATGTATGTATAGTATATATATATATATATATATATATATATATATATATATAGTGTGTGTGTGTGT